TAAAATTCAAAATATTTATTTATATTATTACAATTAATTTGAAAAAAAAACGTCGAACCTAAATGTTTATCAAGCTGTCGTTATGTATTACATCACTACCATTTACGTGGGATAAAACTAGGCTACCCTTTTGACGTCCAAAATAATGGTATTTTATTATTTTTTCGTTTAATATAATCACGATTTCTACTTATACATTGTATTTATATTCTTAGAAAAACAGTCTTTTTCAAACAAAAACTTATAAATAAACAATTTAGAGAAACATTCAACAAACACACACTGTTTAGTTATATTATAATACACACAATTCAATCATACATTGATAAATAGTCACTTTTAAAAATCGTTCCTTCCGAAAAAAAATCTATAAATCATTTTTGTCATCTTTTTTACTCTAATTTTAATAATTAAATGCACTGTATCAACCCTAATCTTGTGTGTAAAAAACAATATTGATGTTATGTATAAAATGTCAAAATTATTTAAAATCTGTATTTATTTCTGTATTTTATGCTTACTTATCAATAAACAGTTATACTGTAAGAATTAGTGATTTTTGGGGGTAAAAAGTATTATAAAAAGTCAGAGCAAATCCTTATTGTGTCTATTATTTTCGTGCTCTAGATATCGTTACGTGAACATTGTGATCATAATTGTCGAAGTTCTTACATATTTAAGTTGTGAACTAAACCGAATTTTGTTATTTATTTTTCAATTATTGATTAATATTATTATTTAAGATATTATAAGAAAATTATCAAGTAAGATTTTAAAAATCAATAAGAGTCTAGATATATGTTATTTCATAATGCTCGAAATACACCTCAAATCAAAAGTAACTCTTACTTTCTTATTATTTTATTAATTATTGAATTACGATTGAGCGCATACGTTTATCAAACATTCACGTTATTTGAACTTAAGGTCGATTCACACTACACGGAACGTCAACGTCACGTCACAGATCGGCAGCGTCGCGTCAAAATATTTAACCATATATTTATATCATATTGTTCACATACACCGACCACGTTACATAACGTCAACATCACATAAATACAAGGCTAAATATTTTGACGTGTTCCGTATAGTGTGAATCGACCTTAAATCGTACCATTTACGGCGAACGGATTCTATTGTTTTATTAATTATACGGTCAAAACTCTATTGTTCTGCGAACGTAAATGTTCGTCAAACGGATTAGATTGTTCTATTAGGTATACGGTCAACATTTTAGTAATCGATAAACTTACAATTTTGACCGTATACCTAATAAAACAATAGAATAGTCTGTGTTGGCCAAACGTAATAACAGAACGTTACAGTGTCAGTTAACGTTATGTTGCCTGATAATCTTTTCTATTTTTTTTCGGACCCTCTATAAAGAAGTTACACTACAAATTTGTAACAAAAATTTAGATGTTGTAAAACAACTTACCGTCTTTTTTTTTT